ACTTAGTTAGAGACAGTATATAATAAGTGCTTGCTAGCCTAGTTCTTTTAAACAAATTGTTAGCTGTTAGTCTTAGAATGCTTTCAGGTTAAATCCCTAATGGACATAAATTGATGTATGAAAGTCTGGTGCAGTTTTCTGCTGGTGTGGCAGAACACAAATCAAATGGTGAACTGTTTGTTCTTCCTACCTGGCCATGCCCATGATGAAGGGCATGCCTCTCACAATTCCACATGCAGCTCAGGTGCTCAAGCACCATATCCACAAATCCATTATCCAGCTGCCACCATTATGCAAGGTCTACATTATTTTTAATAAAGACTGCAAGGGTGCTGAGTGCGTGGCTGGGTGTCTTAGTTCCAGGGCTAAGCAAGCAGCAGGCAAACAAAAAGCTTGTCTGGTGTTTCACTGGAAAACAATGTAGCACGAAGAAGTGGCATTAGTTAAATGTTTCTTCCGAATGAAAGGGCAAAGGAGTCTGTGACTAAAGAAACTGAACAGACATGAACATGGCTCGTGATGGCTGCTTTCATGTCTGCTCTCTGAAACAAAATGTCAGACCTCTTTGCACTCGCTGTCTGTAGCTGTTCTGTCAGTGTGACACACTGTTAGAATATACTTTACATACACGGCCTGAAGTCCCTGAAATCACAGCACCCCTTCACAAGCAGCCAATCAAAACATCTGCCAAGTGTCTTTGCTGCCACATACAACCCACAGACAACATCTGGGCTGGCACCCTGGTACCCCAGAGAAGCAACTTCCAGTGAACAACCAGAAAGATTTGTACATTTTTCCAGGTCATAAAGACTTAATTCACAATGGATGTTGCATCAAGACATTTCTGAGCATCCACAAGGAGAAGGTGTTGACAGAAAGGCAGGCTGAATATTCTGATTTTACTTCAAAAGGAAAATCTTTCCAAATTGCAGAATAAACAAGAAAAAATGCAATTCAAAAACATCTTGAAGAAGAAAGAGAGATTAACGGGAAACATTTCTTCTTAACATAAAGACTCCATATTATTTTATTTCATTTATTGCATTGAACCTATGTCAGATTTGTGTGCATTTCACCGTCTTTGAACACAATTTTAGCATCTTGTGATAGTCCTTTATCTTTGAAAGTAGAATTATATGGGTGGGGATGATAAATCTGGAAGGAATATGAGATGGTCTTGGCAGGGGAAGATTTGACAGAGTAGGACAAAAACAAAAAAAAAAAAAGAAGAAATTTACTTTTAAAAAATTATTTTAGGGACTCCACATTTAAAATTTGCTTTTTTTTTCCCAATTGCTTTTGATCACACTGCCAAACATGCATTCTTCCACCAGAAATTAAACCAAAGTTATTCCATTGGCGATTGCCTGCCTCATTCACAAGCAAGGGTCTTTCTGCAATCTTTCATGCCTTATGAAACTGATATTCAGCACACTTTTTTTTTTACATGGTATATTCAAAACTTACTTTGAATTCTCATTTTATCCAAATGTCGTGAAGTAAAGCAAGGATTCCCACTAAAGTGACGGGCTTGCTTTTAGCTCACTTCCTAATTTTGACATGCAAGGAGAGTAAAAACAGAAACATGGGTCAGCTTTATTTACCTTACAACTGAGCCCATGCTGAAAGGTCTGGAACTGAGCTCATGGGTGCCCTTCCAAATTCTCCCGAGGAATTGCGTGAGATACATGACTAACTTGGTTGCGTAAAAAGTCAGTGGCAGAAATACAAAATAAACTGTGTTTCTCAGTGAAGGGTGTGGAGCTAAACCATTACTGTAACTCTGGATATGAGTTTCTCTTTGCAAATTATGCAAATACTTAACTTTTCTCACTTACACATTAATGCCTTTCTTCTGTTAGCAATTATAGATCAAGACAAGTCTATTTTAATATCCATTCTTTTATGTCTCCAATAAATTAAAAAGTTTACTTTTTGTGTGTTTCTTGCAATATCTATTTTCATATGAGAAAGTATTGTGATTCAGAACAAGTTTCATACCTCCAAAGTAGCTGGAAAAAAGGGTATTTCAATATATCAGGGCTATGTCAGGAAGTTAACTAGGGAAATTCAGGCTAGCTACAGCCAAAGATATCCAGCTGTCTTAATCCCTATAAATCTCTGCTAGAGCAAGTGGAAAGAAAATATGTAAAATATCAAAACTGTATGTGTCTCATGTTTAAATGTTTCCACAGAAGTCTAACCAAGCTTGAAAGTTAATCTTTAATTCAAAGAATAGGAAATACCGAGGAATCATTTACAAGGCCACAGGTCACTAGGGAATACAGTAGTCTGACTTCATAAATCACAAGCAAGCAACGTTAACTGAGTCCTTAGTGGGTTCTATCTCATTTTCAAGGGTCTATACATCTGTTACATATTTTTTAAATGCTGGTGGCGATCAAAACAATGTACACAGGAACATGTGTAACCATGGGGACTAATAAGAGAATTTCTGTGGTCGTGCTTGACAAGATCCCAGAACTGAAGCCTCTGAAATTCACAGGCAAAAGTTTAATATGTCATGGCAGGCATTACATCTCCTAATTCTGTTCTGCATTTAAATTTACATTAAAAGTACTCCAAAGTCATTTCCTGCCCAAATATTCATCTCACAGAAGTGGCCATTAGGCTACTCCCTAAAATAGGAGGTGAATCAATCAGTGTTCAGAATTCCTTTAGCAAAGCCATCAGACACCACAGTGCACTTCCAGAAAGTTTCAGGATGAGGTTCAAGGAACCAGTTAGACAGATGTGCAAACTCCAGTGCTAAAAACTGAGGATTAACAGAGGTCTGGTCAGACAGCAGGAAATGGCAATAGTCCAGCGACTGAGTCCACACAAGTTGTGTAAAACTCCATGGTGAAATAAAGCATTAGGAAGGTGTGAGGTGGGAGATAGCTGTGAAGGGAAATTTCTGAAGGACATAAAAAAATTTTAAAATGCATCTGAATCGAAGGCATCTTGAGAGGCTGTAAATGGTAACATTTCCCTAAGCTGAAGTAATTTTTACTATTGCTGCCTTTTGTGAGTCATGACAATGTCTGCTTCCCCCCAGGCTCTAAAACAGGAATTACACCTCAGAAGGATGCCTCTGAGATTTAATTAGTTGTCATTTACCAACGATCCTGAGTAAAGACCATCTTACTTTATCAGGTGTATCTCCTTAACACAAATTAAAAAGAAAATCCATTAGGACATTTAATGATTTGTTATCTAATATAGAGTATGCAGACACCATTTAATATCTTCAGAAGAGACTGGGGAATGGGAGTCCTTATTTTGATTTTCAGGGAGTATCTGGAGAGCGTGTTCAGCATGTGAGCTATAAGAATCTCTCTCCATCCTTTTACTGGCTTCTATGAAAAGGAAAGGCTTCTACTCCAAATTACAGCCCTTAGAAGGGCTGGGGGGAAAATCACTTTCCAATAGGTATTGCATCATTTGTTGAAAACAGAAGTCTGCAAGTCCTAGAGCACCAGCTCTAATTGGAATATGGGCAAAATCTGAATGTAACTCCAAACATATGAGTTTTGAAGAACTTTACATAACTTCCAGCAAGCAATGAAGTTACTGCTCTGAAAGCTAACTACTCACAACCAATATCAATCAGATTACTTGTGTAAATAGTCATCCAGGCAAAAGCAATAATAAGAAAATCTATCCCTTTGACTTACATGTTCAGCAAACTTATATTAATGGATCCTCCACCCTTTAATCTTTATTCCTTATACTTTCTATAGAATTCCTCTATTCTCACTGTGTCCTAGAAGGAATTTACACACCATGAACAATGGGCAGTTTAACTGAGTTGCTTGTACTGGTTTGCTGTCCCAGTAGAGACCTTGGGGTTTTTACCCCCAGCATGGGCAGAAAAGGAAGAGGGATTGCTATCTCCCCAAAAACCCTGGTCCTATGGACCAAAAACATCAGAAAGGCCAGGCACCCTGAGACCATCTCCACTTCTGCCAAAGCCTTGCTCACAGCCTGTAAACTGGAATTTATTTTTTGGCTTGACAGGGCTCCCCTATTGAGACTTTAAAGGCTTGCAAATGCCAGTAGTATCTCATGTGAAAACAAAGCAACTAGGGCTTGGCAAGGGGTGTGGAGAGATTTATAAGGTGTCTATCATGGCAAGAAACACTGTCAACAACCCAGACAGAAAAATACTGTCCTACTTATTTCTTGTGGATGAAAATTCAAACAGCACTTCTGAAATAACATCCTCAGCTGTTTCTATCTCCTGGCTTATAAAGTGACATTCTGCAGAGTTTAAGCATGGCAAAGCAGCATAGGCCATTTGTGAGGAGAGCTATCATGTCCTGAGAAAAAAGATAAAAGAGATAAATAGCCAAGTAGAATATTGTACCTCAACAAGCTGAAAGACAACCTCAAAACTGAATGGAGGAATGGAGAGCTTTTATTTCTTGGTTTTTTAAAGAACAAAGCTTAGCGATTTCCTTTAAAAGCTATTCAACAAGCTCCCCTAAATCCTATTACAACTTAATGTGAAATGCATCTGTTTCCATAAGACCCACACTGGTATCATTCATCCTTTGTAGTCTGTCCTTTGTTGTTTTTTCTATCTATTCTTGTAGATTTCTCCACTCTAGTATACCATACACAAAACAAGAACTGATAAAATTTTAGTCAGAGCATTTATTTATTAAGTTGATGCTGGAAATTCAGTTTGTTCCTGCTTGCCACCTGAATCATGCCAAATTAAATTATTGTTCAAGGAATTTATAAGGTAAAGAAACAGTTTCGATACTGTCCCAACATTTCTTGCATGCGGATTCTGTAGTCAGCTACAGATATTTAGCTACACATAATAGCAAAGATGAATATAGTCTCTGCATGACTTCTCACTGCAACTGAGTTCCAAATGTACTGCAATGTATTCAGCCCGTGTATCTTAAATCAGTTCAACATCAGCTCAGCACTGCACAATTTTTTTAGAACCTACACATGTAGCTGTCTATATAATTTTTTTCTAAGACATGACCAAGCTGGTGGGTTTATCTGATGTAAACTATTTAACTGAATTCACATTCAGCACACTGTGAAGCATATTAATTCTTAAAAAGGTGTATATTTAGAAAATCTTAGATAAATAGAAACCAGGAAGCGCAAGATGCAACATGCTTTTATTAGTGTTTTGCCTGTGGAAAAAGGTGACTTTGATTGTTTGTATGTTCTGAACTCAAATGCTGGGTGTCTTGTTTTTAAACACAAGGAAATTGAGTTGTAGCACCTTTAGCTTTTTTAACCTTCACCATCATCACCATTACAAATTTATACAATGTATTGTTTAACATTATAATTAGTGTGGCTGATGTTTTTTAATCTGTTTTCCCTCTCATTGTCTCTTAATCAGGTAACAGACATTAAAGAAAAGCTAAAGCTCTCTAAAAAGTTCTGGTCAACATTGCCCTACACAATCTGCAAGGACGAGCGAGTGACAGCGGGTCCGTCCGTCGAGGAGGACTGCTGGAATGGCCACACCAAGGCGAGGTGAGGTGGACCCCTCTCCACCCCACCCGGTCCAAATCCCCGTCTGGCCTGAAGCATTCATGAAACTGGGGGTATTTCACAAAACTGTTTGTGAGGGTGAAACAGAAATGGGGAGAACAAGTCATTGTCCGCACACCGCTTGTAGCCAAGATTACTTATTGTCAAAATGCCATTAAAGCCAGAGTGTGAGCCAGGGTAAATGTGCACAGAGGGTCAGCATGTGAAGGCAGAAAATGTGCATTGGTTCAGCTCCAGAAGGATAATTTATACTGAGATTTCAAAAAGCTCTTTAGGTCCATTTAGCATCCCTGTGTTGGGACTGACAGCTTGTGGAGCAATTGCACTCTCGGGATACCATACTGGGATGAAACAGAAATTGGAATTTCAACTCTACTTGCTATTGGCTGGCAAAGCTTAGGGCTATTTACAGGGGTTGGGGGGGAGGGCAGCAAAAAATGAAAAATCACCACCAGAGAGTAAATGTAGCACTCCTACTTAGCTTGTGTAAAGATTTGACCTTATGTTACTTCTTCAGAGATAACTGTGATCATCTGCCCGTGTTTGTGATGAGTATTCTGTGAGTTTTAATTTTGAAGCTTACTTGGCCCTGGCTGCAGCAGAGCAGGAGCCAGCAGATGAGCAGGTGTCTCCAAAAGTCCCAGTGTGGATTCATCAGCTGACAGAGGACAGGATCTGATTATCCCTGCTGAGAGGGGGAGGAATTGGCTCAAGGACCATGCCAGGGGCATGGTTTCAGGTGTGCAGCAGTATCCTGTGCTTTTGGGTAGACATGGGAAGTGGGGAGGTTTGAGTATCTGGTGACAGCTGAATCTCCAGAGAAGTGACACATTCTGGCACTCAGGGACTGGAATCTTTATTTTCCTTTTACCTGAAGATACCTATGAAGACAGAATATAAAAATGAGCCAAAAAGAAAAATAACAACTAACCAATTAAACAAACAATAGAAAAACATGATACAAGCATGTAAAATATAAAAACAGTGAAAATAAGACAACATAGGGAAAAAGAAATGTGCTCAGTGTCATTTTAAATGGGTGTATAGATGGACAGATGCATAATTAGGTTGCACCCACTTCACCATGTCATCATCTGATCATTTTGATGAGGAGCACAATTTGCAGGAGGATGTTTCACACTGAATACACACAATTTTTTCCTAGTCTTACTACATAGCCTTCAAAGGAATTCATTTTACAGACAGGAGGAGGGGGCCGTTTTGGAATACTGCTAGTCCCTTGAATCCACTTATGGATGCATGTGAACAAATCTGTCCAAAAGCATGAGCCACTGCTTAGCTGCTAAGCCCCAGATCCAGAGAAAGCCCCTGGGGATTCAGAGAAATATTAGGAGGAGTGTCTATTACAGGAGCGGCTATTACAGGACTCATCATAAAGGAACAGTGTGAAAAGAGAAACAAAATGTGCGGTTTCTCTTTCTCTATTTTATCCTTTCTTGTTATTGAGCTTTAAAAGACATGAGCTCAGGTCTGTGCACTGCCAGCAGTTAAGCAGAGTTTCAAGGCATGCCAGCTAAATGCCATGAGCCACATCAGGGTGCATGCATCAGTAAGAGATATATGCTGCTCTTTCTGCAAAAGAGCAGGCAAATCCCTTAATATCTATCTATTCCTCCTGGTATCCGTGCTTAACACTAGTGTGTGTACCACATCTGGCAAATACTTGGCAGCTCTCTTCTCCTGCACTGAAGGGCTTGGCACAGCTTCCACATTTGTTGGGAGTTAAGGAGGTACATTTTATGCATACAGTTTTTCACCCATCTTTTGCAGAATTTATCTTATGAGAAACCTGGGTTTCTTCATTATGACTTCTGAGATTAATGTTCTGGAGAGAGAAGAGCAGTCCTCTGTTAATCTCCTTAGTAATTGAGCACAGATGTTTCACTGGATGTAGAGTGACAGCTTCAAAATATCACCTGAAGATACCATTTCAGCAAGTCCAGCCACTGCTTCTCTGCCCAGTTTCTGTTTAATATCCATTCACAAAGGAAATGTATAGTCATAGTCTTAGTAACAGAATTCAATAAATTCTTCAGGTGGAGGCAATAGTAATAAATCAGAGAAACACCCCAGAATGCCATGGCTGTATATGAAATAGTATCAAAAACAATATTGAAAATAACTAGCTCTAAATGCAAAATCACCTCTTGCCAGTGGACTGCTTTCACTGCAGCAGAAAAAAAATAAAGGTTTCCTTGATCAGACTGATTAGTATCTGATATCAAATGATAGCTCACAGGAACAAGCATCTGGCCAATATTCATATATATATGTGTGTGTGTGTGTGTGTGTGTGTGTGTGTGTGTTCACTGTGTCAGCTAACATAAGCACCCCTGTGCTATATGAGGAGCTGCATGTTGAATTCCAGAGAATATGACAAAACCTGTGATAGAAAAAAAAAGAAACTTAGCCACCTCCTGTCTTCCTAGACATTAATGCTGTAAGAAGAGAGCATGGTGTTGGCTACCACTGGGAAAGGAAATTATTGCTAGGGTTTTAATCAAATCCTGTTCTGGAATAAAGAATTAGAAACTTTGAATTGCCAGATAGATATTATGCCTTATGTTTCACTTTACACATCACCTTTTGATGCTGCTTTTGCAGGGGAAAAGAGTTACAAACCTGAGATCACAGAGAATGAGAGCTTGGCTTTCTCCTGAGAGAGGCATTACACCAAGGTCATTTGTGGTTATTACACTCCCTAAATATCACTTTGCTGCCATGATTAATTTACAGTGACACCAGGTCACCAACTGAAGGTCGCCAATTCACAAGTAATCATGGCGTAACAGAGTCATCCATTTGGTGTTCTGGAAGGGTGCTCTTGGCTCATTGCTGATCCTGTACAAATAATGGTTTTAATCGGGTCACATCACGTAGAAACCAAGTGCTGTGGAAATGGGAAAATATTTATTAGATGGATTAATCTCTTTTTTTGAAAAATTCATATTAAGGATAATAATAATAGCTACTTCAGACAAAGTGCCTTTTAGAGAGATGCCCAGCAGGATTTCTCCATCAAATTTGTATTCACAAAAGAACGTGAACATAATTTTATGTTTAAAGAATTAACATCTTCTACCAGATGTGCAGAAACAGATTTCTGAAAGCTATTTAGGATCTAAAAAACAACATTAAGATCAAACTTTGAAAATTTACCTCCCTCCCTACATGCAATTAAATTCTTAACAACAGCTGATGGCATCTTCACTAATAGGTATTCTTCAGAATTAAGAAATTTTCCCAAGAATTATGGAAAATCAGACTTTAGGACTTAAACCAAGTCCAAGGTATTAATCCTTGAATATGTGACTTTAACTGAAGAACAGCAACCAAATCTGGAACCCTCTGGTGTTCAGGAGAATAACCTTGGATTGCTCCAACCAACTCAGGCAGCTCATTCCAACCAAAGCATCGGGGAGATTGTGCTCATGCACTATCATCCTGGTGCTCATGCTCACCAGGGCTATAGACTTTCTAACATGTCTTAGCTCTGAAAAGCTATAATCCATGGAATAGATGATACCTGCATTTGTTTCCACAAGGAACCTATCACTCCTCCAAACAGAAGAAGAAATAGAATGATATATGAGACATAAAAATAAAACAAACAGAAAAACATAAAGAAAGGTAACGAATAAAAGGAAAAATGAACCTTATAATTTTCAATATCTAGCTCAAAACTACAAGGTATGTCACCAAAGCAAACACAGGATAGATTCTCAGCTGTCCTGACATTCTCTTCTTCTCCTGCCACATATGTGGGAGTGTCTACTTCTGTGGCAGAGAGCTTTTAATTTCTGGTGAAATTCAGTGGGAAGAAAGACTCACCAGGTCAGTGTTTGCCCTGAGAAAGTTGCTCACTGCTGTCCAGCAAAGCTTGCAGTGACAATGAGTTTAGTGTCCTTTAGCTGGATGTAGGCACAGGTGACTGTTCAGCATCACTAGTGAAAGGGGGAATAAACCACTTCTCACTAAGTGTGGAAACTGCCTAATCTTAATTGATGGCTCTAGTTTATTTTTATATCTTAAAAAAAAAAAAACCACCACGCAGTGAGGCTTTTTTTTCCTCTCCTTGTGTCTGCTCAAGGTTTTCTCCAAGATAGAGGGGAAAAACCAAACTGAAAATATCCTATGGGGATTACCTCCTGAGAAAACAGAATCAGATGAGGTGAACTAGTTAGCCAAACAAGCCAGTTTTCCACTGCACTTATCTTTCAGGACCAGATGTGACTGGCTAAACCCAGCCCAGCCTGAGTAAGCCTCTGCTGTATTTTGTATTCTATTGCCTACAATTCTGTGCACCTGGAATAACTCCAGTACTGCCTAGGTGGCATGCCCCAGTTGTACTGTAAGCAGCTGCTGTGGCAGCAAAGTATGGAGAATGTTGCCCTTAAAGACAGATCCTTTTTAAAAATTAGATGCCTCATTTTTTTTTTTTCTTTTTCTTTTTCTTTTTTTTTTTATTGGACAGGGTGGGGGGGTGTCAACTCTACAGGCTTTATATATGTGACCTGAAAGATTCATCAATCATTTTAAGACTTGAAAAGGAAGCAGACACTATGGAACATTAACAGGTTATTAAAAAAAATATGAGGGGGAAAAGAGAAGTGGTTTTAAATTGGCCTTGTGGTACTTGGCTATGATGTGCCAAAAGACATCTTTGCTGTGTCTGCTGAGACAAGCAAGAACTGTGGAAAGGCTAAGAGGAACAGAAAGCATTAATATTTTAGAAAACAACGTAAATTACACTAAAATCCTGACATAGCTGAGCAAGGAGCAAACACCAGAAAACAAACAAACAGTATTGTTCAGCTTCTCTATAATCAGAGGGCTAAGGAAGCTTGCTTCCTTTTATTTTTTTTTTTCCTTTGCTAGGAGGAGAGGACGGAAAGAACAGACACTGATTCAGGTTGGCACTTCTCTTCATTTATAATGGGCATACAGTTCTTGTAATGGCCAGGCCTGCAAAGAAATCATTAAGGAGAGCAGAAGCAGCAGCAGAGCTTAAAATTCACAAGGGTGTCTCAACTTACGGAACTGCAGCAAAAGCAGCTGTGTTCAACAACTTTGCCCAGCCAGCAACAAATCTTCTGTCAAATCATGGTCCCAAGACATGGCTTCCTGTTTGGTGTGACTTAACCCTAACCCACACACATCAAAATGTTTTTGTCAGAACATGTGCTGGGCTGCCTCTCCGAGGCTGCCACTCACAAAACACCTTGGGCTGCATGTTCTCATATCTGCATCAGTCCTTTCAAGAAAGGAAAACTATTCAAAGATATTTCATTCCAGATAGACTTTTCTGTCTTTCCTCTCCCCCTGCAAAGAAGCAGGTGAACTAGTTCAGTAATGAGGGCAGAATCCAGCTACACATTCAAATGTGTAAATTCAGGTACTTAAATATGGAGTAGGACAGCAAGGAGTGTGTTGCCCAAGCAGTTATAGTATCATTGGAGATTCTCTGGCCATCTGGGATGAGTGTGACACAGGACACTGCCTCCCCTCTGGACCAGAGCCTGGGCTAAAACTGCTTGAGCATTTTTGAATGCACCAATGTTAAGATGCCTGAAGGGACCCCCAATATCCTGTCAGTGTATTCAAAGAGGCAGTTTGCCACTGCCAGAATACACTTACCTACTGCTATGTAAGATGATCTGAGTAGTCATGACACCTTCATGGAACTGGGAAATTAGACCCTGGAGCCAGTGGATATTCAAACCCTACTGGAGTGGCAGCATGATGCCAAGCAGCTCACATCCTAGTGGCTAAAGTGGCATTCAAGACCCAATTCAGCTGCCTTAATACACACACTATAACTTTATATGCCCCAGATGTCCAGGACCTCCCCCTAAAGCCTGCAGATATGATCCAGAAAGCCTCACCTTTCAGAGCTCACCTTTCAGAGCTAGTGACAAGAAGAGGAGGAATAACTAAGAGCATTCAAATGGCACCAGCTGTCTATGTTTATGCAAGGAAATCCCAGCAGATGAAACATAATGAACTAGTCATTTGGCCAAAGGCACATGGGACTCTAACAGCTGTCCCTGCTCCACTGATGAATAAACTCCTGACTAGCTGTGACTGGATCTGGTGGTGGCTAGATCTGGTGAGAGTGGGATTCTGCTTATGCACAGACACTTGCATTTGAACACACGAGGTTTGGTATGTGTGTAAACCTAAAGATTAATTTTCAGCCTTTTTGATTCTTTTGCTATTATGTCCTAAATGCCAAGGGAATTTAAGCATCCAACTAACTGCTAGGCAGTGTTAGGGCCATGGATTTCTTGTGACCTACATCAAGTATGTGTCCCTTACACACCTAAGAGAAGTACACTTGCCAGGAATGCTTTGGGGGTCACCAGATCCTGGGCAGATAAAGCAGGGTGTGTGGCAGTTTGACAAAATCACTGAATGGGCTGCCTCATGTAAAGCTAGACAATCTGAGAAGGACATCAGATGCACACTAGTCATAGTGCAAAATACAAACCTCCGTGAAATGCACACACCACAGCACTTTCTAATTGCTTTAAGTCAGTACATTCTTCCTTTATTATTGATGGTAAAACAAAACGAAATCAGACAGAAATCAGTCAAAGAAAGCCTGTGAGCTGCCCTTCAGAGCTGTCCTTAGCTTGTCATGGACAGCTTGCAATAAAGAGCTGCTAACCCATCATAAACAAGGAAAGCAATCCACATGAATATTTAGCAATTTCAGATCACTTGTAGCTGGTAACAGCTATGGCCATCATCATGGACAGGATACGGAGCAAGACAATCATCCTGTCTGAGGCAGTAGTTTGATTCTTACATTCTTGCTTTTTTAATCAACTGCACCTTGAAATTGCTGATTTACTACTAGGCTGAGTAATTTATCTACAGCAGCCCTTTCATTTGTAGAGACGTGTGACAGATGGAGATGCTGTTCCTTTGCAGTCCAGAGCATCCCTGCTTGCCAAGGTCTCCATCCTACTGCCTCCAGGCAGCTCTGCAGAATTATTTTCTATTCTGTCTTTAGTGATTCATAACACCATGGCCTGCAGTCTTCCATACTGGGGGAGGTAGCTCTGTGTTCTCACCACAGTAAATCTGACTGCAGGAGCCTGGATGGGATCCCCACAGCAATGTTATTTCTTGTCATGGTACTAGTGAAACAACAGGACATGCAGCTTGAAGCTGGGTATTTTGGCAATCATGTTTGGTTCTTCGGTGTTCACACACCCCCAGGATTATTGTCATGTAAACCTTCAAAGGCCACTGGTGGCAAATGAGTCTCATCTTGCAAAGTGAGGGCCCATTATGCTGAGACTAAGCCCTTCCTTGGTGCAACAAAGCACCTGTTGTCTTGTGAACCTCCAGAAGCAATGCAGAGCTTATTTTCCCTTCACCATGAATTCAACAGAGAAAATCTTTTCATCTCCCTTACTTTCACATTTATTTTCCAGAGATATTTCTTTTTCCAGACCAATACAATGCTGTCATCAACGCCAACCTTCAGTGCTGGTAGAGAACTGGGCACACACAAGTGAGAGTGATGTGAAATATTCTCAACCTATATTTGGTACCAGGCATCGTGAAAGTTTGTCTTTAGTAGGCTAGACTGTGCCATCATTGTCTGAGCACACAAGCACACAAGGACTCCCACAAACATCAGTAGGGCAGCCTGGTATGCAAACTAATTACAAAATAGATCATATCCTTATAAAGAATGTAAACAAAGGATAGATCTGCCCCAAATCCCTTGCAGCCTAAATATGAGACAAAGATAGTAGGAAAGGTAGACAAGAGAGAAGAGGGAAGCTGTGATGCACTATCTTCTTAGGGTATGCCAGCATAGAGAAATAATGTCAACCTTTTTTCAGTCTGGCAGCTGTAAAATGCACTGATAATTTTTGACTGAAATTTGAAGCAGGAAAAAATGTAGCTTTGCAAAAGCCTACAAGAAAGCTTCCTGAGAACAAAAAACAGCAGGGGACAAAGTGCATCTTTAACAAAGGGTAATGGAGATTTTTACTGTAGGATGATTGGAGGCATGGGCTGCTTTTTGTAGGGGAAAGATGTGCAAAAGCACACTTGCTGCCTGCAAGCAGCCTAAGACTGCATTATTCAAGGTCAGAGAAAGGAATGCTGCAGTAATCAAGAAATTATAAGGTAAGAGCCTGAATAAAAGATTCAGATTTGTGGATGGATAGGAAATGCCATACCCTAAATGTTATGCACAAAGTACATGAGACATTAAAGCCTGATTTAAAGAAATAATAACCAAATCAAAGAGAATACTGGAGTTTGGTAAAATTATAATGCTTTTTATGGGACTGGATGCCATGTAGGCTGGAGACGTTTTTCATGGTGGTCTAAAAAAGAGATGCAAGGAAAAATTGGAGAAGAAAATTAAGTGCTCTTTTAAACTAAGAAAGCCATAACCCCTCAAGATAGGCTTCTAAACTGTCTCAGAACAACAAATATGCTATATACAACAAAGGACTTCATATTTTTAAGCAGAAAGAAATAAAAACAGCACAATGCACTGTTAGATGCTTAATTTAGTGTACAGCCATTCATGTCAGCAGAGGATATGAATATGTGCTGACTTACTGCTGGCTTGCAAACCTTTTCCATAGTTCACACAGTCATTGCTCTTGCTGGGAAGTATATGGAGAGTTAGGAGGTTGAAAAACCTAAATTCTTTCTGCTCCCTATGCAGCTGTGCTACTAAACAGATCCTTTGGAGTCAGTAAAATTAAAAACTATATTTTTAAAACAGTTTTAATGGATCTGTTTAAGAACTGCACATTGAATTTCTTAGCACATCATTTACTGTACAGTGTTTTATTTCTGGAATTACTGTGTCTCAAACTAATCTTTCATTCTGCTGCATAGATATTTGCCTGAGATTATGAATGATGGCTTGACCAACCAGATCAACAATCCAGAAGTAGATGTGGACATCACAAGGCCAGACACCTTTATTCGACAGCAAATCATGGCCTTACGTGTCATGACTAACAAACTGAAGAACGCGTACAATGGGAATGATGTCAACTTCCAGGATACGAGTAAGAAACCATTAATGTCATTACATAACTGTAACTTTGGAACCCATTTATAAATTGGCTCTGTTGCAATGACTTTCTGCGGTCTTTGTGCTCTGCGCTGCTGACAACATAAAAAGTCTTTCTTCTGTTCCAAAATTCCAGTTATATAATTGTTTCTTTTGCTTCTCTTGCTTATCTTCATGTTTAATACATCCAGACACTGAAGGCTTTCCATAATGCCAGCAGTCTGATCCTTTTTCAGAAGAGCATTTAATCACCTAATTAAGTCACAGTGGGTTTCATTTGGAAGCTTTACTGATTGAAATTTAGCACCACCAACACTTCCTCATTCCCAATGTGTTCATTCCCGCTGGGGTGCCAAGTGGAAGGGAGAAAAGGGATGAAAGCTGCAAGCTGTATCACTCACGCTGTCTCCCTCACTCCTTTGTGCCAGGTGACGAAACCAGCGGCTCAGGCAGCGGGAGCGGCTGCACAGACGACATCTGTCCCACCGAGTTTGACTTTGTCACCACTGAAGCACCGCCTGTCGACTCGGACAGGAGAGAGGTGGAGGCTTCAGCCACACAGCCTGGCTGGTCACTGCAGACATTGCTCGTCATCTTCCTCAGCCTTGTACTGCAGAGACAGTGGAGATAATCCTGGATCTAGTCAGAGAAACTGTGTTTTAGCTACAGAAACAGCCTACTTTCTTCTTTTCTTATACTCTTGGACAATGGACCATGCCACAAACACTTGCAGTTTTCTACAAGATGGCAGTTATTGCAACCTGCTTCCCATTTTAGTTTTCCCAAAGAGTACCAGGTGCCAGACTGAACTGCTTCCTGTTTTTTTCAGATATCTCTGAAGACAATATCCACTCTTGAGAGAATTCTTTCTCAATCCTTTATTACAGGAGACTTTGTGAGCTTCATTTCCTTTTATGCTGCAAAAGGGAAAAAAGATCTTACAGTGTGTTTTTCCCCAGTGAGAAAAAAGACGGGGGAAGAAACCAAGAAAGTTTTCTTTCTGAATCAAGCCTGACTCAAGGCTGCTGCATTTCAACAGAATATCAACAAAACAAAACAAAAAAAAGACAAGAAAGGAACAAAAAAAATGCAACTGTTCTTCACTGACAGCCAGGTTTCCTTTAGGAACTTCTGTAGGATGATTCAGGTCATCAGAATGATCACTGTTATAGGGAGGAAGGCTGAATTTTTTTTCCCCAACACTAAAAAAGTATGTCTCAGCAGTGAATGTCTTGCACTCCATCTGCCAACCACATCAGATTGGTATGAAGGTAGAGAAGCTGAAAAATAAGTTTATCTTTTAGTATGGTAGTAGCTCCACTAGCTTCAGAATGTCATGTTACAGTTGCTTAGGATTTGAATCTTAATGCCCAGTAAAAATATGAGTAGTAGCACGATTTCACCTAGTTTCTTTTAGGATTTATCCATGTTATAGAATAGTCAGTTTTCCACTTAGCTCACCCCTGTGAGCTCACCAGCCATGATGGTAATGTTAAACAACTCTCTTGACCCCTCACGGGTTCAGACAGAAAATAATCTCTTGTGATGTAATCTTTTTCCTTTTGTTGCTGTTCTGACATCGATTAGAACTTTTTGCTACTATGTCCATTACCCTACCAAGACAGCAATTCACTAACAGACTAACAGCAACTGGATCAATAGTGTGTTTCACACCTAACTACATCTTTCATATCAGTTAATTTCAGTGTCACAAAAATTTATTCTACAAAATTTCAGATCAAACAAATATATAGTACTGACATGGAGATTTCTTTCACTTTTTTAGTCTTAGTATGATCATCTATTTTTATATATATAAATATATATAAATCACAGATTTTAACTTCTTAATTACGAGCTCAGGGTTGACACTTTATAAGAAAAAAAATGTTTGGTCAACCAACTCTTCTTTTTTGCTGCTCTGAAAAGTAACCCTCTAATGACTGGTGAGCATGAAAATCAAAGAAGAGAATTTTTTACATATCCAGTTGTCCATTTCCTAACAAGTTTGCAGGTTGGTGAAGAAAACCTCTCTCATATGTGTGTATTTGGTGGAGGGGGAAGGGGGGAGCATGTGAGTTTGTATGATAAGCCTAGAGAAGGACATGGATGTTAATTGTGATGGTAATTGTACTTCAGATTCTTCAAGGATACATTGCTTTAATAATCATTGTCTAAAAGTTATGGTCTGGGATAGAGTTTTCCTAATTCACATCCGGTCATAAAAGCCAAGATGGAAGCTGTTTAAAAACTGGACAAATGTGTGTCAATAATTAGACATCAAAATCTTCCTTTTTTTATCAAACACAGACGAAGGATTTTTGGGGTAATTCTGTGTGGTGTCGAAATAATTCGCCATAAATTTATTTCTGATTCTTACATTGACTCTGGAAATGGTATACACAAACTGTGGTAACACTGTAAGGCCAGCCAACCACATTCCAATTTAGCAGCAGAACAGGTAGATTGTATCCATTGCAATTGCTTTTTCTTGTCAAATTATAATTAGCTATTGATTTAGGCATGAAATTAAAATAGAAAACACACAGCACGTTAGAATAAAGTATACTTAAGCACTTTTACAAAAAAAAATATTTACAAGCTATTTATATAGTATGTCTAATAACAAAAAGCATAAGTTTTGAGCCACTTGTATTCAATTCCTTTTCTTCCCCATTTGTTTACTTTGAAATATAATGATAGATAGCGTCATAGAATCATGGAATCATGGAGTGGTCTGGGTTGGAAGGGACCTTAAAGATCATCTAGTTGCATCCCTCCCTGCCATGGGCAGGGATGCCATTCACCAGACAAAGTTGCTCAGGGCCCCATCCAGCCTGGCCCTGACAGGTAGTATGTCACTGTCTAAGTGTGCAGATCACACAGGTCTTACATGGCCATAGCAATGCTTCCTGCTTCTTCATATGTTCCCCCTGGAGCAGGTCTTCTGATTGAGCATTTACTGTATCCAGGAAGTTTAAGACAATGCTCATAGGCTTTTTCTTTTGCCCTGGTACAGCAGGTATCAAGCAGAAGGTCTTTGCTTTTAACTTTTTTCCTGAACTTGAACATGCAGTTTTCTATAAGGAGAACCCTTCAAAAATCTTCCCTGATCCATGTCTTTCTACCCATCTCCACATCCTCTCTACATCCGCAGCAACCTTCTTTCAGGAGAAGTTAAGCTTGATTTTGATTTCTCTGGTTGTGTGTTTACTCAGTGGTAACTGATTCTATTTCCATCTGATTATTCTAGTTCTGAAAGCTTATTGACAGGCAAAAGTGTCCAAGCCCTCGGAAGCAAGTCCTCTGCTGTACTTTCTCCATTCTGCTAGTGAAGGAGCTGATGGACTCTTCGGGTTTTTGGGTTAGCCTTGGCACACATGTAGGTGATCTGATTATTGTTTTCAGCTGGTGCAACCAAGGTGTGTCCAGGGTTCTCACATCTATTTGCAGACTTCCATGGACTTTTAGACAAGAAGTAAGTTGGATCTTTTTAGACAAGGAGTAAGAAAGAACTAGAGGTTCGCAGAAGGCGCTCATCACTGGAGGAGCTTGCCCTGCTTTTCTTGAACTGGATCTTATAAACTGCTGTTCAAACAACACACCAGCTTAATCTTTGCCAAAATGTGATTTTTGCAGGAGTTCTGCCAGAAATTTTTGTCTTCCATATTATTATTTCGCCTCTTATTTTGCTACTATGCGTGATGATATTTTGTCAGGAGATGGAGATGCCTTTGTGTGAAGTTACGGTATATACATTTCTTTAATAGTCCCTAAAGGTTGAATACACTCTTCATACATTGCATTTTTCTGAGATTAAGAGAGCTATTAAATCTACAGAGAAAATTAAATTGGGAATGAAGGAGAGAAAAGAAAAAACATTCATGTTCATAAATGTGAGAATCTACATAATTTCCAATTATTCTATTCACACATCCTTTGCGTCCAATAGCTCTTCTTCTGAGGTAATGTTTTGGTATGCCACAATTTTAGTATTTCTGTTAGCAGCAGATAAAGTAAAAAATTATAAAGAAGACAATTACATGTTCAAGAAAAAGGAGCTAAGTCCTAAGGAAAAGTCCTTTGATTGTGTAAACCCTCTATACTGGGCAATCTAGAAGTTTTTCAAAGGTAATGTTCTTTTAAAGCAGAGGCTAATAAAATATTAGATGCAACTGAATACATAACCATTGCTGTAGACCTCTGTGAGGTTTTATCTTTTTTATATTAACTGAGTTGTTTTCACATCATCCCTAATTTTTTCATGTTCATTGTACTGCAGATTTTTCTACTGATAACTCAGTACACAGTACTGTAAATGCAGTACAGACTACCTGGACTCTGGCCAAACTTAGGCATTTCAAAAAAGACAATCAGAAAAAATTGAAAAAAGAGAATAGAGATTTCCTGGAAAAGAGGAAGAGGAAAGGAAACTGTGCCTCGGTGTTCTGGTAAGGGTTGATCTATCCTAGTTCCCTAAGAGGCATCACAGATCTCTGTCCATGTAAAGCTCCAAAAATCTGAGTCTCAGATAGACTCAGTCATTCCCAGTTCTGTGGGACTTTTAGGAAGAATGATTCCCATAGATGTTTTAGGAAGAATGATTCCCATCAATTGATGAGAACCAATTTGAGCTGCTTCCCTGCAAAATGGCTTTACTGTGCATGTGACTGAGCACTGGCACAGATTGCTCAGAGAGGCTGTGGAGTCTCCCTCATGGGAGATATTCAAGAACCATCTGGACACAATCCTGTGCCATGTGCTCCAGGATGAACCTGCTTGAGCAGGGAGGTTGGACCAGATGACCCCCTGTGGTCCCTTCCAACCTGACCCATTCTGTGATTCTGTGATTCTATGAGCTGGAGCTGTTCTTGGGAGGTGGACTCTATGTGCAGTGTCTCAGCAGGCAGCAGTTGCCTTCAGTTTACTAACTGATTCTGAATCATTATCAAATGTAACTATACTTATTCACTGAAACTTTTATTATTTCAACATAAAAAATAAATTACAGCACTGATGCAAGTTGTGTTTTTTGTTTTTAATTTGCTTCCAAAGATAGCCCATTAGAACTGAATACAGAAAATTTTAGAACGATTATGCAGGTTTCTGTAGATTTCATTATGGATATTTAGAAGAAATCCACGTTTCAACGACCTCAAAACTATGTTTACTATATTAACCCACAAATGTTCAAACTTGGTAGAGGAGAATGGAGAGAGTTAACAACAGTGCAATGTTACATAAAATTGAAAAAAGCCATAATTTTAAAGAGAAATTCAGCAGTCAAAGGCTAAGTCAGTACTGAGATTATGTTGTCAAAACATAATAGACTCAGCAATGCCTACTTTCAAGAAAAATAGGTCAGGCAATGCACTGAACATGGCAATGTTTTCATTACAACTACTCAGATGGACTGTGAGGATCATATTAATATGGGTAATTATGACCCTTTTTGGATAAGATAATGATAAAGACCAGAGTACCATTGTAGCAGGGTGTGTGAAGGATAAATGTTATGATAGTAAAAATTTCCTCCTCTGTTAAACCATGCAGAAGACATTATGGAGAATGAAAAGCTTTGATTTTTAAAATAAAGTTCCAACATCGGACAAGAGTGATGATCTCAAATTAACTTACTCTGAACATTTTGCAACAGTCTGTCCTATTCAAATCTGCTGACCATTACAAACAAGCAATCACTTGAGGGTAATTTGCCAACATAACATGAAGTGCTCACTTACAGTATCTACTTACTTTTCCTACTAAGATGAGTATATAGTTTATGATTCTGATTGTGCATCATATGAGGTCATAACCAGACTTGTGCATTGCATCTGTTTGAAATCCTGGTGCCATGACGAAGCAAATGGGAGCTTTGTCATTTACAAGGATTTTGACTCTAACTGGGGAGAAAAAGTTAATTCCTTTTTTTCCGGAAGCTGTTCATATGTGGTTTATTTCTGACTCTTAATAAAACAACAACACTGTCCATAAAAGAAGTGACATTAGCATTGTCACCTGCAAGTTTTCAACCTCTACTCCAAAGCAGTTGCAGTCTTTCTGCCTGGTTTCCCCACAGCCAAGGTCTCTGGACTCTCCAGGAGTTCAAGAAAGTCATATGTGTTTGTCCATAGCTAAAAGTCTACACAGTTAAATCAAATAATTTCAAGAAATTGGTCAGTATTTCAGTCAGCTCTTATTTCACCTTCATAATTAATTATGTAGCACTGATAATCAACAATATAACACACATGAAAGGCTTTTGTTTCACACTGATGAAAAAAAGTCTTCCTTCTCCTCCTTTATTCTGGCAACAAGAAATCTGTGTGGCTTAATACTTAAAGCAGTTGGCAGCATCTGGTGTGTAGTTTGTTTATTAAATTCAGAACAGCTGTATTACTAAGAGGAGTTGTCTTTTTCTTGGGAGGGAAGAGGGAAAGAGTGTGTCCATTTATCATTAGCAAAAAAGATGTACAGAATGTTGACTATTTATCTTAGATATAGCGGAGGTCCATCT